TCCGGAGCAGTCGAGGAGCCCCGCCTCTCAGCAACCAATCAAAGCCTGAATTGTCCGATTCCCAGTAGCCGCGTTACTAACGAGCCACAACCAATCACCATGCAGCGTCTCCGTTTTAGCCCCGCCCTCCTCGAAAAGGACCAAGCCGGAGGCGTACGCTAAACGGATGGCAACTGGTAAAACCGCGAGAAGCCGCAGAGCCCAATTACTGTCCAGAAGAGAACGGAAATCGCCTGGACGCCATATTAGTTGGGGGCAGAGTCATTTCCGGCGCAGGGAACCACTGTAACACAGACTGGGTTTGTATTTAGCGGATGGCGTCGGCGCCCGCGTATTGTAACCTCCTGTTGAGGGTTTAGGATCGTCTGTAAAAGAACCCTTATTTTAGCGTTTCCCAGTTGCTACCGTCTCTTTGGAAATGTGCGAATAAAAGCCAAGTCTCAACAACTGCAGCAGGTATTGATTGGAACGCTGACTCCTAAAAATTCTGTGTATATTCTCTCATTTATTTCCCCAGAAGGTGAGGTTAAATTACTCTCTGAAGTTCTCATGGTTAGTAAATGGACATCTGGGCTGCAAATCCGCTATGCCTGACCGCAAAGCCTCGTCTTACCCTTTACATTTTGCCTATTCAACTCTCTCAACTCCTTGGTTTTGCTGATAAAGAGGTAGGAAATAGGCAATTAATCATCAGCAGCATAATCAGAAACAATCATAAAGCGTTTATTTAAGTGCGTTTTAATTTGTGACTTTGCAAGCATCAAGAAAAATCTCTGTAGACATGCTACTAACGTGCCACAACCTTTTCCTATTGTTCCTAATGCATAATTGTTCTCCTTCCCTACCCCTGTAGCCTTTCAGGTTAACTTTTAGGTAAAATTTACTTTTTATTGAAAATGAAAGATCTGGACCAATGGATTTCCAAGGTCCTTTTTCTTTTATGTGATCAATGTTATTTTAAGGAATTATTGCAAGTCATTCTGAGAATTGCAAGATAACTGATTTTTTTTTAAATTAAGGTGCATTCGATTTGCAGGACATTTAACGTAAGGAAGCAATGAAACCAAATGTACTGGATATTGTCTTTTATCTAGGAAACAATAAATTAGATGATCTTGGACCTTGCATTGTATCTCCTGAATTCTGACAGTGATTTAAAAGATGCCCCATCCTTGCTCCCCATTTTCACTGTAGACTAATAGTGCAGCTTCCTGAAAATTCATAACTTATTGTGGTGATTTCTTGCTAGCTAGCGTCCTGTATTTAGTTAACCAAAACCCCTCATCTGCTGATATTTGAAAACAGTTCATATAATGACAGAATCAGTTCAGTTCTGTGGCCCTTCTTTTCTTAGATAAATCTGCATGACTCTTTTAACTGTTCTGCATATGAGGTGGGCTCTTTACTATCCTAGTTGTTCTGGGTACATGGCCTGGTTTGTCTTGTCACCCTAAAATAATCAAAAGGCTAAGGAACCAGTTACAGGGGTTTATTCAGCTGGAAAATATGAGGGCAGTCACATGGGAACATGTAGACACTAAAAAATGGTGATACGTGCTTCCAGTGTGAGGAAAAGTGAAGATTGTTTATAGAAGACAAAATGGAGATGCTGAAAAGAATTACAACATCTTGCGAACAACTGATAACATCCAGATTTAAGATCTGATTGACTGCTATTGATTACACTCTAAGGTGGTTGCTTAATATTTTTTGTAAAAAAGTAACAATCACAACGGTCTACAGCTCCAATATTATGTAGTCTAGGTTTGAATGAAGAGTAGGGACTCTGATTAATATATAACATTTCAACATAAAGGTCAGGAAGCAACAATAGTCATGCACCAGAGAAGAAAAACAGCTGTATTACACAACTCAGTTTTCAGGGCTTAACTTTTCTCCGTTGGCTTAATAAATTTGGAAGGTTCTGAAATTTCATTTTCTTTTTAAAGTTTGTATCTCAAAATATAAGTTGCAGGACTGAACAGGAAATTCCAACATGTTCATCATGTAAGTTCACAAAGCTATGTAGTAGGCAGAATAATGGCCTCCGGAAGATATGTTCAGATTCCAGGAACCTCTGACTATGTTGTATATGACAAGACATTTTGAAGATGTCATTAAATTAAGTATTTTGAGATGGGAAGATTATCCTGGATTGTCTGGTGGACTCTGTAATCACAAGGATCTTTATAAGTGAAAGAAGGAAACAGGTCAGGGAGAAGTTTGAAGATGTTCTGCTCCTGGCTTTGAAGATGGAGGAAGGGGCCACAAACCAAGGAAAGCAGGCCTCCTCTAGAAACTGGAAAAGGTGAGGGAATGGTTTTTTCCCTACAGCAACCAGGAGGAATGCACCCTTGCTAACACTTGATTTTAGCTTAGTGAAACTCAATTTGGACTTCTGACTTCCAAAAATGCTACCTGTTTTTGGCTTCTTCCATTTTCAAAGCCAATAATGGAGCATCTTCAAATCTCAGACTCTCACCTCTGCCTCTGTGGTCACGTCTCCTCTTACTCTCACTCTTCTTTGTCTCTCTTTACAAGGGCTTACAAAGGCTCTTGTGATTACTTTGGGCCCACCTGGATAATCCAGGAACTTCCCTATTCCAAGATCCTTAACTTAATCACATCTACAAAATCCCACTTACCATGTAAAGTAACATATTCACAGGCTCCAGGGATTAGGACATGGGCATCTTCTGCCTAGCACACTGAGTTTGGGTGATGCCAGTAAATAAGGTTGAAATGGAAATAAATGAGGTAGAGGCAACAGCAATGGACCTGATCACATAGTGTCCTATAAGCCAAGGTAAGGATTTTGGATTTTATTCTATGATGGTATACACTAGCATATTACCAGCAGGAGAGTGACATTATGATTTATATTTTATAAAGATCATTTTGGGTGCTGTGTGGCAAATTAACTACAATGGAAGCAGAGAGGTTCTCCAACTAGGAGCCTTTCGAAGTATTCCAGGAAAGAGATGTTAATAGCTTGGATTAGAGTAGTGGAGGTAGAGGAGGTAAGAAGTGATTAGATTCTTAGTGATGTGTGCTGAAAGTACAGAGAGAAGATTTAAGGATAATTTCGAGGCTTTGGGCTGGAGTAATTGGGTGAATGGTGGTACAGCAGATATACTGCAAAAGGAGGTTTTGGTTTGTTGCGGAGGGAGTCAAAATAAAATTGCAATGCCTGGTAGCCATCTAAGTGGAGGTGGTCAATAGACTGTGATACACATCACGATGATATACATCACAGCCTATTGACCACCTCCACTTAGATGGAATTAAGGGGAGAGTTAGGTCAAGAGACAAATACTTGAGAGTCACTACTCCATAGATGGTAAAGCCTTCAGACAGAGTGAAAGCTGACCATAGTATTTATTATCCAAACCAGCACACATTTTAACTTTTTATTTTGACAATTTCAGACACAGAAAAGTTGTAAGAATAATACATAGAATTTGCATATGCCTTTCACTCAGATCCTCCAAATGTTAACATTTTATTATACTTGCTTTATTCTTTTCTATTTCTCTACTTACCTATAGACAGACATTTTTTCTCTGAATTGTTTGAAAGTAAGTTGCAGACATGATACCCATACCCTTAAATACTTAAGTGGATTTTTCCTACAAAGTCTTTCCCTTGTATCACTAGTTCTTAAAGTATGGTTCTTGGGCCAGCTGCAACTGTATATCACCTGGAAAGTTGAAACCTAACTTGTAGGACCTCACCCCAAACCAACTGATTTTGAAATTTTTTCTGTGGTTGTGAAAAGAAATTAACATGACTTCAAAACTATTATCTAATTTATAGGCATTATTTAGATTTTACCAATTGTCCCAGTAATGTCTTTGATAGCAGAAGTACCAATGGGACACTTTTGAGATTAAAGGGAACCACAGTCAGTAATGTAGCCAAGACAGAGTAGTAGAGTGTAACCATAAAAGGCAGTTGAGCTCACACCTGTAATCCCGGCACTTTGGGAGTCCCAGGCAGCCGTCTTACCTGAAGTCAGAAGTTTGAGACCAGCCTGGCCAGCATAGGGAAACCCTGTCTCTACTAAAAATACAAAAATTAGCCGGTGTGGTGGTGTGTGCCTGTAGTCCTAGCTACTTGGGAGGCCGAGGCACGAGAATCACTTGAACCCGGGAGGCGGAGGTTACAGTGAGCCGAGTTCGTGCTACTGCACTCGAGCCTGGGCGACAGAGCAAGACTCTGAAAACAAAAACATCGAAGAGGTATACTTTTTCTTAATACGTATACTTAGAAGTCTAAGGTCCAGTATGATGAGAACTGGAACTGTCCATAGGATTTTATAAATTGATGTTCTTAGTGACCTTGACAAGAGGGAAATAGACTCAAAAATAAAAGATAAGAAAGCCGACATGGTATGTAGAAAACTCCTTTTTAAAAGGAACAAAGATACAGAGGAGGCTGTGGGATTAAGTAAGGTTTTGTTCTTTTAAGGTGGGCCATTAATACATTAGGTTGATTGCTACTGGGAAAAATTGCAGAGCAGTCTAGGGAGGTTTACAAACTACGGGTGCCAGGAGTAGTTTCATCTCTAAAGATTCTGATTTAATGGATCAGCCAGGCTCACAGGGATATTTAAAAGCCCCCCAAGTGATTTTAATGTGTAGTCACGATTGAAAACCACTGGTAGAGAGAGAAAAAAATCTGCTGCAGAGAGGATTAAAAAAAAAAATCCGCCGCGGGAGCAAGACCCTAAATAAATAAGTGCTAAATTGTCAGCCAGCACCACTTGAATGATCAAATCTTGTCAGTTACAGTATCCAACTTTTCCTACAAGCGTCCATAGGCAGACGAAGGGTTTATACCAGTAACTCCATTCTCCAGGAGACAAGAAAGGAGGATATAAAAACGACTCAGGATTCTCCTTGGAGCTAAATATCGGGAACTTGCTCTAGCGAGTTCCCGCCGTAGTTCTTGCCGAGCTCCCGCGCTCTGGCTGCACGCTGTAGCCCAGGTCGCCAATGCGCACGCGCAGGGTTCGCTGGGTCTCACGAGCCCGGGTCCTTGCGCAGGCTTGGCTGCGCGTTCTCGCGCTGCACGTTCAGCTGGTTCCTCCCTCCTTCCGAGCCTCTCCCTTGGCCGCCCCGCGGGAGAGAGGCAGAGATGGCAGATGAGATCGCCAAGGCTCAGGTCGCTCGGCCTGGTGGCGACACGATCTTCGGGAAGATCATCCGCAAGGAAATCCCAGCCAAAATCATTTTTGAGGATGACCGGGTGGGTACCAGGCACTGCTTCGCTCGCCTGCTGAGGCGGCGGTATAGCCCGCGGATCCTCTGGTTTCCCGCGGAGGGGTCGCGAGTGCCGCGGTGAAGGGAGGGGACCCGAGAGCACCCGGCTGCCCTGGCCGAGCGGGCCCCCAGCCAGCGGGCAGGGCCCGGGCACTCCGAGGCGGCCTGCCGGCGCGTGCCAACGCTCCGGTTACGCGTTATCTGCCCCGGGCGCGGGCCAGGCCGCCGGGCGCCCTGGGTGCCGCACCGCGGGGTCTGGACACGTGTCTGGGCGCACTGGGGCCCCCGCGTGGAAGCCCGCAGGCTCCCCAGCTGCCTCAGACCTCGCCGGTGTCAGGAATCTCGAAATCTCGCCTGCGCTCTGCCTGACAGAGAGAAACCCGATCGCGTCCTGACTCAGGCCCAATCTCCGCAATCTCCCGCGCACAGCCAGCCGGCCTGCCAGGGCCTGGCGTTCCTGGGCGCAGATAGGCAGGATATTGTGCTCGAGGGCCTCAGGGTCGCGGGAAGGCGCGGGGACCTGCTGGGCCTGCCGGCTTCCTTCGCGGGTTGCGGCTTGTGGCTTGCCACCCTCACCCCTACCCGTACGCCTATCCCCACCTCAAGGCCCACCCTGGGCCAGCGAGGCGATCTCCCTCCTGCGATAAGTGGGCCCGCCTGGGATTTGCTTTCCATTGACCTCTCCAGCTAAACATTTTGGACTTAGAAACAGGGGAATGATTTCTTTTATATTCAACAGGAAGTAATTTTATGCCAAGAGACTAAGACTAGTTTTTGTTGACTTCCTCGTAGGTGAAATCCCAGTTGATGTGACTGTGAGACATCTTGTGTAAATTATTTAGTGGACAGTTGTATTTTGGGGATTGGATCTCAGATAAAGCTGGGTAGAAGATTGGCTGATTTAGATAGGAAAAAATTTGTAAACATTTTGTTAAATTTAGGAAATATGAAATAGAAAAACATTTATTCTACTGGGATAACGTTATTTGAGATTTAATTAGGTTCCTCCAGGTGAATTTTTAAAAAATATTTTGTTTCTAATCAGGGGAAATTCTTTTCTTTTAGAAGAAATATTTATTTGTAAAGTTTGCAGTTGCCTTTGAGAAATGGTTGAAAAATTTTCATTTGAACCACCAAAGTCCAACAGTATAACAGCAGGAAGCATTCTAAATGAATCAGCGTTTTGTAGGGAGGACCCAGTAGAATTACTCCTGAGACAAGTGTGGATGGGTTTTATTAAAACAGCTTTCATTTCAGCAGGGAGCAAGAAATACAAAAATATTCATGCAGTATGTGTATTTATAGACACTGTGGTAAATAATTTGTCTAAATGCTAAATAATTTGTCTAAATATACAAAGATTAGGTATATTTCTTAAATACTTATGTGAGAATAGATAATCAAATATCAGACAAATATGTAGTTACAAAACTCATCGCTACCATAAAGAAAAAAAAACCAGGAAATTGCACAACTAGGACTCTGTTCTGACCTGGGAATAATGGGAGGGGGAGGGGAAACATTTTTTTTCTCTTTTTTTTTTCCCTCCCAGAAATAATATATGTACTGGGAATGGAATGGAGGAATGACCAGCAGTTTAAGTTAGACAGAAGTTGGGGTTTGGAGCGGGAGAGGATCATTCAAAAAGTCCTGAGGGCAGAGATCTCAGAAGGACAGTTTGATGTGAAGAGTTGCAGGAGACCTGGAGAGGTAGGCAAGGATTAGCATGGCCAATTTCTATGCATCCATTGGCTCCCAATTTAAATGTCACCGCCTCAAAGTTGTTGTTCCTAAACAATCAAAATCAGGCTTTTGTGATAATCATTCATATTATACGTTACTTTTCCTTTGTAATATGTATGACCTTTGGTGATTATACCTTTATTTAGAGTTGGTCTTCCCATAAGACTTCTATGGAAAGGACCATGGCACCATTCATAATGTGTACATTTCTGTATTCTTAGCATCTAGTGCCTCCCATGTAGTTAGTGCTCAGTAAATACTTGTTGAAATAAGTTTTAGCCTACCAATATGCTAAAACTTTGACTTATTTGTTACTTTCCCTTTTCCCTAGTGCCTTGCTTTCCACGACATTTCTCCTCAAGCACCAACACATTTTCTGGTGATACCCAAGAAACATATATCCCAGATTTCTGCAGCAGAAGATGATGATGAAAGTGTAAGTAAATTTCTAACATGAATTATTTTCTTGCTTTTAAAATTGGGAGATTAATTTTGTCCTTAAAGATTAATTTCTTGTTCCTAAGGTCATTACTAAAGAGAAATAGAAAAACCATTAGGACTTCAGTTGGCCAGCTGTTTTCCAAAGTTGCTGCATCATTTTGTATTCCCACCAGCAATGAATGAGCATGCCAATTTCTCCATATCCTCATCAACATTTCCTATTGACTCTAGCCATCCTATTAAGTGTGCAATGGTATCTCATTTTGCTTTGATTTGTATTTCTCTAATAGTAGGTAGACTTTTAAGGTACTATTTCCAAACTATCTTTTTTCTTGTATTAATTATCTATGTTGTATCATTTAAGACATTTTTTTAGTTTAATGCAGATTAATATAATCTATGAGCTCAAGAGTGTCCCAGTTTAATTCAGTCTCTCTGGCCAAGGAGATACTATTCCTCCTGTTTCTTAATTTTAACTCAAATGGTATATACTTAATTGGGTCTCTGCCTCCTTAAAAGTAGTGGCCTGCCTGTATTGGCAATATCTTTGACACACAATTTCTTCTATTATTACTCTCAGGTAATTGTAGAAAGTACTGAAATCCCAGTTTATTTTGGAAAAGCCAGTACGTGTTCAATTTGTCCTAATTGAAGTTAAAATGTATGGTAAATTTCCATCATTCCTTTGCAGATAGATCAGTCTGCATTTCAGTCAGGCCTTGGCACACCAGTGATGCGGGGGATGATACTAATGAAGGAGGATCATGATTCTAGCCTCAAAAGTTAGGGAAATATACTGTATAAGAAGACAGAGCTGGGCGCGGTGGCTCACGCCTCCCACTAACTACATGGGAGGCACTAGATGCTGAGAAAACAGAAATGTACACATTATGAATGGTGCCGTGGTCCTTTCCATAGCACTTTGGGAGGCCGAGGCGGGTGGATCATGAGGTCAAGAGATGGAGACTATCCTAGCCAACATGGTGAAACCCTGTCATACAAAAAATTAGCCAGGCATGGTGGCACATGCCTGTAATCCCAGCTACTTGGGTGGCTAAGGCAGGAGAATCGCTTGAACCCAGGAGGCGGAGGTTGCGGTGAGCCAAGCTTGTGCCATTGCACTCCAGCCTGGGCAACAAGAGCAAAATTCCATCTCAAAAAAAAAAAAAAAGAAGACAGAGACCTCCTTTTTTTTTGAGACAATGTCTTGCTCTGTCACCCAGGCTGGAGGGCAATGGCACGATCTTGCCTCACTGCAACCTCCGCCTCCCAGGTTCAAGCAATTCTACTGCCTCAGCCTCTCAAGTAGCTGGGATCCTTTTTTTTGAGACAGGTCTTGCTGTGTCATCCAGGCTGGAGTACAGTGGTACCGTCATGGCTCACTGCAGCCTCAACCTCCTGGGCTCAAGCGATCCTCCCACTTCTACCTCCCAAGTAGCTCAAACCGCAGACACATGCCACCATGCCTGGCTAGTTTTTGTATTTTTTTATAGAGATGGGGTTTTACCATGTTGCACAGACTGGTGTTGAACTGCTAGGCTCAGGTGATCTGCCTGCCTTAGCTTCCTAAAATGTTGGAATTATAGGTGTGAGCCACTGCACCTGGCCTCAAGACCTCTTAATATTAAATTTTCTTTGATAGGTTTTTGATGTCTCATTTCAGCTATGTGTTTAGTATTTATCAATCATATACTCTTATTCTAAGCAAGTAAATAAGGCAACTGTTTTTACTTCTTAACAATTTGTCAAAGAGTGATTCAGTTTTCTAATAGCATTTTGTCTTTTTTTTTGAGACAGAGTCTCACCCTGTTGCCCAGGGTAGAAGTGCAGTGGTGTGATCTTGGCTTACTGCAACCTCTGCCTCCCAGGTTCAAGCGATTCTCTTGTTTCAACCTCCCAGGTAGCTGGGACTACAGTTGTGCACCACCACAACTGGCTAATTTTTGCATTTTCAGTACAGATGGGGTTTCACCATGTTGGTCTGGCTGATCTTGAACTCCTGACCTCAAGTGATCTGCCTGCCTTGGCCTCCCAAAGTGCTAGGATTACTTACAGGCATAAGCCACCATGCCCAGCCTTCTAATAGCATTTTATCTGACATCCTACTTGTTGGATATGGCCTTTATCTCTGTGGTCTGGAGTTAACCATGTATATTTATTTCTTAGTTTGGACTCAATCTTGCATACAAACTTCATAAGTAATATAGCTATACTATGACATTGACTCTTAAGAAAGTTATGTGGCCAGAGGTAGGAATAGAGGCATCCTGTTAGAGTTAGTAAGGCTCCAGACCTGGGACGTAAAGGAGGTCATTACATTATAACTGAAACCTAGGAGCGATAGGCAAGATGGAAAGTCCATTTTATATCAAATCTTACTGCCAGTTTTTTTTGTTATTAAAAGACTATTCACAGTCCAAGTAAATGGAGAGATATTCTATGTTCCTGGATTAGAAGACTTAAATATGAAGATGTCAGCTAAGTGCAGTGGCTCATCATATAATCCTAACACTTTGGAAGGCTGAGATGGGACGATCACTTGAGGCCAGGAGTTCAAGGGTGCAGTGAGCTATGATGATGCCACTGCACTCCAGCCTGGGCAGCAGAGTGAGACACTGCTTCTTAAGAAAAAAAAAAAGATAGGACTGGGCGTGGTGGCTCATGGCTATAATCCAAGCACTTTGGGAGGCTGAGGCAGGCAGATCAGGAGTTCGAGACCAACCTGACCAACACGTTGAAAACTCTTCTCTACTAAAAATACAAAAATTAGCTGGGTGTGGTGGCGCACACCTGTAATCTCTGCTACTCAGGAGGCTGAGGCAGGAGAATCTCTTGAACTAGTGAGGTGGAGGTTGCAGTGAGCTGAGGTTGCAGTGAGCTGAGATCGCGGCATTGCACTCCAGCCTGGGCGACAGAGCAAGACTCCATCTCAAAAAAAAAGAGATGTTATTTCCCTCAGCTTCAAACTATAGATTCAATTAAAATGAACATTTTGAATTTTGACAACCACTTGTCAAAATTCAGATTCCAGAATATCTGTGGAAAGTGCAAAGGTTCAACAATAGTAAAAAACCTTGAAGAACGAGATAGATCTGATTTTTTTTTTTAATAGCTGCAGTAATTAAGACAGAGTGGTATCAACCCAAGGATAGTGGACCTTTAGAACAAAATACAGTGTCCAAACATAGACCTTCACATATGTGTATCTTCAGTTTGGCAGTTCTATTCCAGATCAGGACTGAGGAAAGGAAGGATTTTGTTTTGTTTCTTACTTATGTTGGAAAATTTCAGACATTCAGAGAAGGGAGAATAGTAAGTGTAACGAGTTCTCAGCTATGTATCATCCAACTTCAACATTTATTAATATATTCATCCTTAACCCATATTTTCCCTGATCCCTAGTTTTGTTTTTGTTTTTTTTTTCTTAAAGCAAGTTATAGACGTATCATTTCAGGATGGACTTCTAAATGATTATGCTAAGATAATTGTTCACATTAAAATGAAATTGGACCACAACCTCATACTTTGTGTAAGCATCAATTCAGGTACCATAAAGACCTGTTAAGAATGATTTTTTTTTAAAAGTCAAAATTAGAGAATAACTTTATGATCTTAGGGTTGGGAAGGATTCCTTAACAATAAATTTAAAGTACCATCCATAAAAGAAATAGATTGATTAAATTAAGCACATTAAAGTTAAGGACTTCTTTTCTCCTATGAAGAGAGTGAAAAGGCAAACCACAAACTGGGAAGAGATTTGTAACTTCTGAATTAAGGGGGAAGGTGGAAAAAGTAACAGAATAGGGTCATTTGGAAGCCTCTGGAGTATGATAATGTTCTGTTCTTTGATCTGGTAGGTATGTAAATTTTTTTATTATTATTTAAACTGTATGTTTTATACATTATCTCTATATAGCATTTTACAATAAAATTTAAAAAATACTGGAATTAAGAAAAGGACATTTTGCCTCTTTAGTATCTTAATTACAGTTGACCCTTGAAAAGCGCAGGGGTAAGGGATGCTAGTCTACACAGTCGAAAGTCCACATATTACTTTTGACTCCCCCAAAACTTGCTAATAGCCTACTGTTGACTAGAAGCCTTACAGTAACAGCTTTACAATAAACAGTTAACACCTTTTGTATGTTATATGCCTTATATATTGTCTTCCTAAAGTAAGCTAGAAAAAGGAAAAGGTGGTTAAGAAAAATCATAAGGAAGAGAAAATATATTTACTGTTCATTAAGTGGAGTGAATCATAAAGGTCTTCATCCTTGTTAGCTTCATGTTGAGTAGGCTGAGGAAGAAGAGGGGTTGGTTTGGCTGTCTCAGGGGTGGCAGAGGCAGAAGAAGATTTGAATATAAGTGGACCTGCACAGGTCAAACCCATGTTGTGCAAGGGTCAGTTGTTTTTACTTGGGGATACCTTTTTAAAGTGAGACATTATTTCTGAAACTTAGAAACTTCATGACATTAATTTTTAATTCAATGTATTTGTACAAATCAGAATTAAAAGGTTAGAGTGAGTACTTAATGGTAAAATACTGTCTTATATGCAGTAACATTAAAACTTCAGAATACAATTTTTTTTTTTGAGACTGAGTTTTTGCTCTTGTTGCCCAGGCTGGAGTGCGATTTCACAATCTGTGCTCACTGAAACCTCTGCCTCCTGGGTTCAAGTGATTCTCCTGCCTCAGCCTCCCGAGTAGCTGGGATTACAGGCATGCGCCACCATGCCCATCTAATTTTGTGTTTTTAGTAGAGACAGGGTTTCTCCATGATGGTCAGGCTGGTCTCAAACTCCCAGCCTCAGGTGATCCACCCACCTAGGCCTCCTAAAGTGCTGAGATTACAGGCGTGAGCCACCGTGCCCCGCCCCAGAATACAAAATTTTAACATTTAGTATAATTACACAATCATGGCATTTTAAGGTCAGAGCTTCTTACTCAGATGTAGCTCTTTTCTGTAAGAATTGATAAAATCTTAATTTTTACTCGGTTAACATTCTAAATTAGTGTTTTGAGGTCAGCTCTTTTACATAGAAGACAGTTGTGTGCCAGGAAACATTTACTGAACCAACTTTAAAACTGTGCTAACTCATAATTAAATTTTGTGACCAGCATAGGTACCTGTTGTACAAAATTTTATATAGATGCTCCTCAACTTAAGATGGGCTTACATTCTGATAAACCCATAAGTTGAAAATATTGTATGTCGAAATGCTTGTAATACACCCAACTTACTGAACATTATAGCCTAGCCTACACTAACTTAAGCTTACTCAGAACACTTAACATTAACCAACAGTTGGTGAAAATCATCTAATACAGAGTGTATTCTGTAACAAAGTGTTGAATATCTCATGTAAGAGTATTTTACTGCATATCACCAGCCTGGAAAAAGATCAAAATTTGAAGTAATGGTTTCCATACCAATGTAAAGTTAAAAATTATAATTTCCCCAACTTATGGTTTTTGTCCATTGTCCATCTGTACAATGGACCTTACTGCATGAGCAGCAGAGTCCACTATCTTGGGGCTTACTAAAGTAAGAGGAATAGAAACGTAAGACTCTCCCTTCCCTCTTTTCTTGCTATAAGAATTAAAGGAGTTCCCTTTCCTGAGAGCTTTTTAAAATGTTGAAGTTAACCCTCCCAACTTTTTTCTCTCACCGTGGGAAAGCATAAGTAGTGAAATGGTAAAGTGTTTTTCTCTTGCCAGCCTTCTTCGCTTTAACTTTTTATAGGGAAGAAACCTGGCAACCCACAAGTGGACTCCATGTGTAAATAGAGACAGATTGACTGTAGATAGAACCAAAAAACAAACAGGATGACGCAGAATGAGACTAGGTATTTGCCACAGGATCTTATAAGTCCCCAGACAATGCACTAGATATGGTAGTGTTCATAGAAAATCCATAATGGTCACAAGGAAGTCATGAAGAAAGCAAGATGTCTTGCTTTATGAAGAAAACTTAAACACCACTTGGAATATAATTTAAAAAGTGTTTTGGTTGGGCATAGTGCCTTGTGTCTGTAATCCCAGCATTTCAGAGGTTAAGGTAGGCAGACTGCCTGAGCTCAGGAGTTTGAGATCAGCCTGGGCAACATGGAGAAGCCCTGTCTCAACAAAAAAATTAAAAAATTGGCTGGGCATGGTGGCATGCGCCTGTAGTCCAAGCTACTTGGGTGGCTGAGGCAGGAGGATCACTTGAGCCTGGGAGGTCAAGGCTGCAGTGAGCTGAGATCGTACCACTTCACTCCAGCCTGAGTGACAGAGCAAGACCCTGTCTCTTAAAAAAAAAAAAAAAGCTAACTTTAATTGAATAACAGATCTTTTGTCTAATTTGTTTCTTGAAATTAGTAATGAATAAATACCTAATCTTAATGGGTCTCCAACTGTAGATTATGCTCTGTTGGGATTAAGAGTTTCCAAGTATTTGCTCAAAGGAGTGTGTTTCAAGGAGAGTTTTAAGATTTGACATTTCAGCTTGACAGTTTGTTATATAATGGTAAAAAGTTATAAATTGCCTGTGCCTAAGAAACTTTTTTTTCTTTTCCAGCTTCTTGGACACTTAATGATTGTTGGCAAGAAATGTGCTGCAGATCTGGGCCTGAATAAGGGTTACCGAATGGTAGTGAATGAAGGTTCAGATGGTGGACAGTCTGTCTATCACGTTCATCTCCATGTTCTTGGAGGTCGGCAGATGCATTGGCCTCCTGGTTAAGCATGTTTTGGGGATAATCTTCCCTTCTCTAGGCAATGATTAAGTTAGGCAAGTTCCAGTATGTTAAGTGGCACACTTATTTTTGCCTGTGTATGGAGAGATTCAATAAATAATTTTCAAACCAGATACATAATAAAAGACATTGTTGCATGGTTTATAGTCTCTCTGCATTTTGCCTTTGACTTGTTATTTTAGAAATAGATTTGTTGGAATATATGAAAGTGGGTTTATAAATTTTGGAGATTTCTTCCCAAGCAGGACTCTATGAACATTGCATTGTCTTAATGGTGTTGTTAGTCTTTGAAGACAAATTATGAGAGATTATAAATTTAACTTTGAAATATTTTTCCAGGCTAAAATAGGTCCAAATTAGATTTTTTTTTTTTTTTTTTGGATAAGGAGTTTTGCTATTGTTGTCCAGGCTGATCTTGGCTCATTGCAACCTCCACTTCCTGGGTTCAAGTGATTCTCCTGCCTCAGCCTCCTGAGTAGCCGGATTACAGGTATGCGCCACCATGCCCGGCTAATTTTGTATTTTTAGTAGAGATGGGGTTTCTCCATGTTGGTCAGGGTGGTCTCGAACTCCCAACCTCAGGTGATCCACCCGCCTCAGCCTTCGCCTCCCAAAGTACTGGGATTACAGGTGTAAGCCACTGCGCCTGGCCTCCAAATTAGATTGTTAAGCTAATTCTCACATTTTCTAAGAACACAGGAATATTGATGAAATTGATCCAGAAAATGACCATTTTGGGTTTAGAAACAATGCTTTCCCCTGGACTCTGGGTGTAATTTGGAAAAAGGATGAAAGTAGTTTTGTCATACAATCTTTGATGACCATGGGGGTATTTCCTTGCTATTTAAACACCATCTGAATATTTATTATAAAGACTTGAAAACATTTTACCTAGAGTTCATTTTTCTGGTTGAAAACCCACTGTTCTAAATGTGTATGTACACATTAATAAAAATATTTAAGTTGTGCACGAATCTGGCCAGGTCATAGAATAGGAAAGGGAACTTGTCAGGATCTGAGTTTTCAGGTAGACTGAAACAACTGTTTGTTTTTAGTCTCACCATGTACCCTGGCCTTTTAAAATTTTTTTTTTTAAACAGTCTCGCTCTTTTGCCCAGGCTGGAGTGCAGTGGTATGATCTCAGCTAACTGCAGCCTCCACCTCCTGGGTTCAAGTGATTCTTCTGCCTCACTCAGCCTCCTGAGTAGCTGTGATTATTGTCGTGTGCCACCACACCTGGCTAATTTTTGTATTTTTGGTAGAGACAGGGTTTCACCATGTTAGCCAGGCTGATCTCAAACTCCTGACCTCAGGTGATCCATCTGCCTTGTCCTCCCAAAGTGCTGGGATTAACAGGTGTGAGCCACCACTCCTGGCCTCTAAGGTTCTATTTAATACAAGGTTAATAGCTTTGCTTCTTTGCTTTCCTTTATGTAGGCACTTTCCAGATTCTAAAACTTAATACTTGTTTTTGTTTTGTCTCTCATTCATACTTTTTTTTTTTGTGAGACAAAGTCTCACTCTGTCATTCAAGCTGGAGTGCAATGGTGTAATTTCGGCTCTCTGCAATTTCTGCCTCCTAGGTTCAAGCAATTCTTCTGCCTCAGCCTCCCGAGTGGCTGGGACTACAGGTGCATACCACCTGCCTGGTTAATTTTTGTATTTTTGGTAGAGACTGGGTTTCACCATGTTGTCCAGGCTCCTGACAGGTGATCCACCCTCTTTGGCCTCCCAAAGTGCTGGGATTACAGGTGTGAGCCGTTGGGCTTGGCCTTCTATTTTTAGTCTCTAAAAAGATTGTTGTAGCGTTTTGACACATTTAATTGAAAATTGTTTTTCTTAAAATTTTATTTCCTGTGATTTTTTAAAATAGATTTTTTTTGGGGGTGTGGGGAGAGGAGGGAAATTTGCTTTTTATGTGTAACACATAATTTTTTTCCCTATTTGTCATTTGTCTCCTTTATAGTGTCTGGAATGTTTGTGTAGTTAATGCATCCATTTTAAATTTATTTCATAAGCCTTTCACACCCCGAGGATTTTTAAATACTCTTTTTTTTTCACCTAGTACTTTTGTGACTTTATATTTTATATTGAGGAAAGGTGTAGGGAGGAGTTTTGGAGGGATTTCGGCCACAGTAAAGAATGAAATAATGAGATGCATTTGTATTATGTATAGGAGGACTGGCTCTGCTTTTTCATGCGTGTCTTTCCCACTGATTTAGTTAAGCTGCTGTTAATAAATTAGGTAGGCAACCACCAAGTTGTCCTGCTGGTTCTGTGTGTCACCTCTCTGCCCCAAACTGTCTTGTGGCATATATTCACCAAACCTCAGGTGGTAGCCGGTCTCCAGGATAGCCCACAAGGATCCTTGTGTCTGATATTTACACCCTTGTATTTCTTCTCATTTTGAATTTGAGCTGTATCTGTGACCAATAGTATGGAACAAGTGACAGTATGATTTCTGAGGCTGGATTACAAAAAGCATGATGACTTACACTGTGGTCTCTTGGATTGCTCACTGCTATTGACCGAATTTTGTTTCCCAAAATTCATATGTTGAAATTCTAACCTCCAATGTGATGTTATTAGGAGGTCGGGTCTTTGGAAGGTGATTAAGTGATGAGGCTGGGGCTTTTATGAATGGGACAAGTGCTCTTATAAAAGAGACTTTGGAGAGCTCCTGCCCCTTTCACCATGTGGGAACCCAATGAGAAGAAAGTCCTTACAAACCAGGAAGTGGCTCACCAGACATTGAATCAGCCAGTGACCTGGTCTTAGACTTCCCATCCTCTAGAACTATGAGAAATAAATTGCTGTTGTTTATGAGCCACTCAGTCTATAGTATTCATTTTTTTGAAACAGGGTTTCTCTCTGTCACCTAGGCTGGAGTGCAGTGGTGCGATCATGGCTCCCTGAAGCCTCGACCTCCCTGGGCTCGGGTGATCCTCCCACCTCTCCTCCCGAGTAGTTGGAACTACAGGTGCATGCCATCACACCTGGTTAATTGTTGTATCTTTTGTAGAGATGGGGTTTTGCCATGTTACCCAGGCTGCCACAGTATTCTTTTCTAGCAGCCAGAACAGACTAAGATACTTGCTAAAGCCAACTGTTAATAGCCAGGGACACTCAGGCAGCCCACTGAAAAGGGGTTATGATGAGAGGAACTGAAGCCTGCCAACAACCAGCAACAATATGTCAGCTATGCAAATAAACCACCTTGAAAGCAGACCCTCCCCAGCCATAGTTGAGCCTTCAAGATGACCAGTCCTGATTAGCATCTGACTGCAACCTCATGAGAAAGACCCCACAGTAGAAGCACCTGTCTAATCTCTCAAATTCCTGACTCAGAAATGGAGCGATAATAAAGTCACCAAGTTTTGGGATAATTTGCAACAGCAGTGCTAACAAAAATACCGTTGTCTTAATTTGTTTTGTTGTTTTTTAGCATACAGCTAGACTGCATTTTCCTGCATCCTTTCAGCTGTGTGGGACCACATGCCTATTGTCTGGTTAATGAGATATGTGAAGAACTGATGTATGTCATTTCCAAGACTGTGAAGTGTCTCCCATGCACTCTTCTTTGCTTTTTCTTTTTCTTAGTTGACAAGATGCAGAAAGGCTTCAACAGAGGAGACTGAGATGTTTGATGGAATAAGCCTGAGTCTCCAAATGACTGCATGGAGCAGTATTTGCCACCCTCCTGACCCACACTGAATTTTGTTAACCCACTGAGATTTCAGGGTTTGGGTAATAATACTTAGGAGTATTTATTGTAATGAATACAAGACCTATGATTGGGTGTGATGAAACTGTTCTGTATAGGGCTTGGGATTTTAACAATCATAACAGCCTATTTGATTGTTCTGCCCTTAGAAATAGCCCAAAGGTTGAGATTGTCAGGGTAAAGAGGGGTTAGAACTTGGAGATAACAATTGGGCTTTTATGTAGAGTGTAAGCCAGTGTGGAGACGATAGTACCACATTTTTTTTTTGAGCCGGAGTCTTACTCTGTTGCCCAGGATGGAGTGCAGTGACGTAATTTCATCTCACTGTAACCTCTGCCTCATGGATTCAAGTGATTCTTGTGCCTCAGCTTCTCAAGTAGCTGAGGTTACAGGTGTGCACCACCACTCCCAGCTAATTTTTTTTTTTTTTTCATTTTTAATAGAGGTGGGGTTTTACTATGTTGGCCAGGCTAGTTTCAAACTCCTGACTTCAGGTGATCTGCCCACCTTGACCTCCCAAAGTGTTGGGATTACAGGCATAAGCCATGCACCCAGCCAATATCACATCTTGATTGGACTGATCTGAGGGGGCTACATGGGAAATAACTCTTATCTTTAATATTAAATGTTAAATTTTAGACCTGAAATGATAAGTTCAGGTCATTTGAGGAACTTAGTTTATCACTGAAATAATTTCCTTGAGTAAGCCACTCAGAAAATCAAAGTGATCTTTAATCTTTATCTTAAAATGTATGTATTCTTGCCAGGTGTGGTGGCTCATGCCTGTAACCTTAACACTTTGGGAGTGTTAAGGAGGGGGGAGGATTGCTTGATCCCAGGAGTTTAAGACCAGCCTGGGCAACATGACAAAACCTCATTTCTACAAAAAGTAGGAAAAAAATTAACTAGAATGGTGGTGTGAGCCTGTAGTTTCAGCTGCTTGGGAGGCTGAGGTGCTGGGAGACTGAAGTGGGAGGAATGCTTTAGCTTGAGAGGCAGAGGTTGCACTGAGGCAAGATCATGCCACCGCACTCCAACCTGCGTGGCAGAACAAGACCCTGTCTACCAAAATAAAAAAGTGTGTTTTTCATTTATTTAGGTTAGAATTAGCCTGCATAATATTAAAAAAAAAAAGATTTAAATGAGATAATAAAAGCTTATTTTTTCTTTCAAATTACAGAATCCTCTAAGGTGGCAATCAGGGCTCTTTTGGCATTCATGACATCAGCAAGAATTCAGGCTCCTATCTTTCTTTTCTATCATACTTTATATCCTCAAGGTCACTTCATGATGCATGGATTGATGCAGCTTCAGTTATCAGATTCCCCCACCAAAAAGAAAAAGAGGGAAGGAAAATGTCAAAAATAATGTCAGCATTATGTATGTCCCTTTTAAAAAGAGCTTTTACAGAGGTCCTTCCAGACC